CATCTGACCATCCCACTTACAGTCTCCATCCTACACCCCTTACCCTGCCTGCAAGGCCCTGACTGTAACCCCTAACCCAATTACTAACTGTACGTCCTACCATCCCAATCTCAACTCTGTCTTCCCAATCCCATTTCTAACTGTAATTCCCACCATCATCACCCAAGCTCCCACCCCAACCTAACGGTAATGCCCCCAGCCAGAGCTGTGCCATTATCCCAATCTCTGACCAATGCCCCCCGATCCCATTCACTGACTGTAACCAGCCACTCCGATTTCCAGCTGTATTCCTTCTACAGTCCTCCAATGTCTGTAACTACACCCCTGCCACATAAACACTTCCTACTGTAAGACCCCAGTCCAATCACTGGCAGTAACCAGGCTAATCTCCACCGTTTGGCTTTCCCCACCTAAATCATAGAATCCCTAGAGTGTAGAAGTGGGCCAATCAGTCCATCAAGTCCACACCAACCCTCAGAAGAGCATCTGACCCAGACCCACTCCCCTACCCTATGTATCCCATGGCTATTGCATCTGGCATGCACATCCTTGGACATTATGGACCAAGCTAGCCAACCTGCACATCTTTGGACTGTGGGAAGAAAACCGAGCCCCAGAGGAAAACCCATGCAGACACAGGGAGAATGTCTGTGTGGAGTTTGCACAGTCACCCAAAGCTAGGATCGAACCCAGGTCCCTGGTGCTGTGAGGCAGCAGTGCTAACCACTGAGCCACTGCGCCACCCCAATCTCCAACTATAAACTCTCACTGTATTCCCCACTGATCATTATGCTGCCACCTCACTCTCCCAAATTTCTGGTTCTCCATTTCTTAGACTCCAGTCATTGTACACCTGCACCCAACCCCCAAAAAATTTCATTCACAACGCCCCAGCTCTAACCTCCTCCTTCCAACTGTAAGCCCCTGATCACAAGTGCCAAACACTGTAGCACTCCACCCCTTCTCAAACTGTAACCACCCAATCTGATCTCTCAAACACAAGAACCCCACCAATACTGACCTGTGACCTTTGCCAGCTGTAAGCCCACAGCCTATCTACACCTAATGTAACCACTCCCCAACTTCCATCTTCCATTGACCATATATCAACATTAAACCATATTGACTATAATCTCACCATATCGATTTCCAACTCTATCACTCCAGCCTGATCGGACTGTACCATCTCTTTCCTGGTCTGTACTGGCCACTACTCCCCTCCAGACTGATTGTGAGTGGGGCTACAATCTTCTCTGATCATTACTCCAACTCAATCTTGGACTGTAACCTCATATCTATTCCTCACCTTCAATCTTAACCCAGTCTCGGACAACTAGAGCCTAATCCCCTCCAACTACATTTTCCCCTCAACCCATCTCCCTCCATCTCTAACCCAGCCCTGACTATAAGATCCCCACCCATACTGCAAGGTCAAAAGCCAAAACTGCAAATCCTCCACAGTATCTTCCGCTCCATATGCTGATACAGCCTCCTTCACCTCAATCACCAACTGTACCCCACCTTTAGTTAACTCCTCCACCTGAACCTCTGGCTGTGGACCCCAACTACCACTGACTTTAAAACTCCCACACCAACCTTAATAGCCTTGCCCTAAACGCAACTCCTGTAGCCCTCAATTCGTGACCGTCTCCCCAGTCACCAACTGTAAGCACCAATCTGTAATCCACCTGATCTCTGCTGACCATAACCCCCACCACCCCAACCATAACTCCAAGCTGCACTATTATCCCCACTGTAATCTCCAGCTGTAACCTCTGCACCCCTTTCTCCCAATGCGAATACCAGCCTGACATCCACTGACTGTGACCCTCCCACCCTGACCAACATTCACCCTCCCCACTTCCATTCTAATGGCTTAGCTGAGGTTCAATTGCTACCCCAGTCCTTTGGCACCCTGTGCAGCGAGGATCGATAAGGGCCAATGTCCCACATTACACATGGTTTGCTTTCCCCACTCAGTTCAAATTTTGGTCACACTCCCAGTTTCTAGGCCATTACGTCCCCTTCCATTTTAGTGGGCTGAGGTCAAATTTGCAGGTCACATTAGCTCCAATCCAATGCTTCTTCGTCTAAAGGTCACGAACCCATAAAATAACACGTTTGACTCTCCTGGTCTATGACAGTCCAGCAATGAGGGCCTTAGCTTGATGACTGTATTTCCTGTACACTGCACGTGCATCTAAGATTGCTGTAAATACTTCCATATATTTGTGGCATGGCTTGGGTTATAGGGAAGAGAAAGGAAGGATAGCAACTCTCTTCTTGAAATGAAACAAATTTCTTCCTTACTTTCCTAACGTTACAGACTCTGGGTCCCAGTTTTCTAACTGGGCATGTTTTAAAAATGTGAAATTTTGATCTTGACAACAGTAAACATTCATCTGCGCAACCATTAACCAGCGTTTATACATGCATCCATCAGGGCTTACTGGAGGGGGGAAACTGGGAAGCACGAATCTTAGGTTAATTTAATGCGTAGTCTACAGGACAGAGTCAGCAATAGAGAGGAAGTCTGTGAATTCACCAGGTTGTATTGTATTGTACACAGATGAGATTTCAGTTTGAAAGACATGAGCTGATTCAATTGGGTTACTGTGTTATATAGTAACATGGCATGGTTGCTGAGAGGTAAAAATATTGGCAGCGGTTTCACTTAGGATCAGGATCTCAACAATTCTCATCCGTTGACCAAAGGGCTCCATGGACAGTCACCCTCATTAATACCTAACTATCCTATGGTACCCCAAGCAGCTCTCAGAATACTAGAGGAGTCCTGACTCCTAGTCAGGAGTGGAATGGAATACTCCCCACTTGCCTGGATGAGTGCCTCCCCAACAACACAAGCAGCCCACTTGTTTGGCACCACATCCACAAACATCCACCCCCTCCACCACCGCTCAGTAACAGCGGTGAGTACTATCTATCTATAAGATGCACTTCAGAAATTTACCAAAGATCCTCAGACAGCACCTTCCAAACCCGTGACCACTTCCATCTAGAAGGACAAGGGCAGTAGATATATGGGAACACCACCACCTGCAAGCCACTCACCATCCTGACTTGGAAATATAATCGCCGTTCCTTCACTGTCGCTGGGTCAAAATCCTGGAATTCCCTCCCTAAGGGCATTGTGGGTCAACCCACAGCAGGTGGACTGCAGAGGTTCAAGAAGGCAGCTCACCACCACCTTCTCAAGGGGCAACTAGGGACAGGACAAGAAATGCTGGGCCCAGCCAGTGACACCCACATCCCAAAAACAAATGAATGAACAAAAAAGTTCTGAAGATACGTGCCACGTGGTGTCGTGCAAACCCAATAGCCGGAACATCTTGCAAGCTCCGGAATGCCATCCCTGCAACTTCAGCCGAGATAATGCTCACCAATGGCCAATGTTTAAATGAGGTGTTACAAACCAGCACACTTGGCCACTTGCACATGGAGCACACCATCATTAATTGCAATCGCTGGGGAAATATTGCTTGGGACCAATGCAAAATGTTAGTTTTAATTGCCATCTACAATTTACGATAGAATGGAAAGTCTGAAATCAAGACAGTCAACACCCGTGTGCCAAACTCTCAAACATGTAAGACCATGTGGATGCAGGTCAACCAACCTGCTGCTGCCTGAGAGATCAAACCCTGACATGATTCCTTTGGACACACCATTGTACTCCAGGTACTGAAGAATGGAATTCCTCCCCCTTTCCAACCCACAAGGTATTCCCAAATTAGCCAGATGAATGGAGTAAAGTTATCTCTGCTCCCATGCTCAATCCAGACTGTATGCGTGGCATTTCCATTAAATCAACCATTCTTATGCCAATCAATGCCACATCAGGTAGTTTTGTTGGCCACACAGTCTTATTTCATACAGGACTCTTATAATCTTCGGCTGTAATCGACCGATCCAGATTGGGTTAAGAATGGGTCCTAGAAGCAAGAAGGTCTTTTTGAGCATTGTGCCATCCTGTCTGGGTTGCACATTTTGTTTGTAATAGTAAATACATGGTCTAGGACAGGCCGCTTATCAGGATTTTCCCAGGACAAAGAAACCTACTTTCTGAACTGGTTAATTTGTTTGCACCCATGGGGTTATCCTAAATTGAAAACTCCCCAAGGATTCAGGGACCTTCTGGCGAGACAAGTCTCCCACCACCTTGAGGTCAGATTTTTATTGCATCATCCCTGGTTCAAGACATTTCCTGCTCCTGGCCTTCCAATTTTCTTGTACAAATCCAATAAATAATTCCCCACTTGTTGCAAAACGCATGTGTTTTTCTGTGATTTTCAACGTGCCACCACCTCGGCATGCAGTGTAACTGGTTGTTAACAAGGCCAGTGCATGCTTACCTCAAGCACAGTATCTGGGTTTAATGTCATCCAATGCCAATTCAGTACAAATTTCAACCATTACCAGGCACAGAGGCCCAGGACAATGTGGGACTCTGACCTAGTTACAAATCTAGTAGATTCATCTATAATTATTTCAACACCATGATCGATCTGGTCAAAGTTTTATCCCAGCCACATATTTGGTGCATTGACCAAACTTCCCTTGGATCAGATCCCACTTGCAGAGTATCATGGCATGTTAGCAAGGTCTAGGTGGTTGAAAATCAACGCCACTGAGTAACCATTGCTTTTGTATCAAATTTCCACCAGGGCTGCGTTAATTCACAGGCGGATGAGCACGTGTCCCACTACACATTCCTCAGCATCACAACAGCAACACACCCTTGCCGTACCTTCCCGCCCCCAACTAAAATTAGCACAGCACCAAGCAACAGCAGTTCTTGAAGGGACAAGCTCAGGACTCTAAGCTCTATTTGCTTTTCTCCTTGTTCTTAAAATTATTCAAAATGGTGCCAGATTGTGGTGACATTGGAAAAGCTTTTCAGTGTTTTTTTTCCTCACTGTAAAATATATGTGACAATAAATCATTTGATTCAATTAAATTCAAATCCAGAGTTACCACACTTTGGAAAACAAAACCATTGGGGTTTTATTGATTTACATTTGAACCAGTCATTACAAAAAAGCATTCTGTATAAACAGACATAGAAAATAAACCATGTAGTGAACAGTGAAGGAAAAATACATTCAACTTCCCTGTGTGCCAACTCCTGGTTGTCTCTCTCCAAGAGAGGGAGGGACCAGGGCCTATCAATAATAAAAATAGTATTATTAGTTACACAGAAAGCATACATCAATGCTTGGAATGTGTTCCGACAGGCACTTTTGTGTCACATTACTGAGCCCACACCTTCGTAACAGTCTCTTGTATCAAGGAAATTAAGTCAAAAAGCCTAAAAAAAATGCTAGGCTGCTGTTGGCAACAAGAGCCTAAAGGCAGTGAGCGCATGGCTGCCATAAAAAATACATGAGAAGATCGATTTATTTTACTTTTTAAAAGGCAGGGGGGAAAACTACAAAATAAATAAATTCAAATGTTTTTGTGTTTTTAAATTACTTTTTTTATTAAATAAAATAACTGAAGAGTAACGTTACAAAAACCCTCGTCATTGTAGTATAATATATTAAACTGTGGAAACGAAAATAACAAAAAGGAAAACCTCAATCTTCAGATTAATAAGATCATAATTTAAACATAAAAGAAAAATATATTTCTATGGTTCGTCATTGTGATAAATACAAACAAAAATGCATATGTTTGGCAATAAATATGTTTTTGATAAGTTAAATAAGCAATTTTTTGTGTATGTGTGTATGTGTGTGCAGTGACAAGCGATATCTTTAAATCCTTTAACATTCTGCCGATTTTTTTTTTTAAAATGGGGGGGATAAAAAAAAAAGAAATAAAATGAACTAACTTGGCAAAGTTCAAGGCTAGCTGGTTAAACTATTTCTCTCACTCACTCTCTGTCCCTCTCTGACAAAAACTATTTTTTAAATTTGCTTAAGAAACTTTCACAGTTCCACTCCCACTCCATTCTTCAACCCATCCCCCACCAGAACCAGTCAAACAAATAAAAAATTACCAGGGTCAATTTGGACAACTGAAACGGTTTAAAATAAAACAAGGCAGCCAGAACTCTAACATTCATTTGAAAGAAATAAAATGTAGCAGTAATTGTCCACCCAGGTCAGTTAGTCCCTATTCCACTCCCCTCACAGTTTTATTTCTTAATCCCAAGCCCTGTGCTTTGTTTCACCACAATATGCATCTATTCACAATCAATCCCAAATTAACTTCAGTCCCTGGAACCGACGAACTACTTAAAGAGAAATTGCATGGGGGTGGGACAAGGGATCCAAAGACATGGGCAAGGAAGGAGGGTTGAGTTGGGGAGGTGTACGGGGAGAAACAGAGGTGGCTTAGAGAGATGCTAGATGTCTCCTGGTGCCTGGTCTCATCTGCACCCAAAAGCATGAGGCAACAAAATTTAAGTCAGCTTGCATCAATAACCCCACCAGCTCATGCAAAAAAGACACACTCACTCAATGCTATCATTGCAGAGGGACGCACCAATTGAGAAGGAGTTGTGGGGTGGGGGGTGGCGGGTTAAAACAGGGAGAAGGTAAATTATAGCTAATCAAATATAGATTCCTGTTTTGCTACATTAAAGGTCTGATTCGGCAAATTACACCATTCAGCTCTCTTTTAAAAAAAAATACTCTCTTCAAAAGATTCTCAAAACCGCACTCAAGAACTTAAGACCAGGCAGATAGGTAGCTGTTTTGACAACAAATTCACTTCAGATCCTGTCACAAAGTGCCTTGACTCACCTAGGCCAATCCCCAATCAACCACAGATTATCCAAGGATGACTCTTGCCTCCAAATTCAAAAATTGTTGGGCTATCAAATTAGATACAGGACGAGGAAAACAAACAAAAAAAAATAGTATTTTTAAAAATTGACCATTCTGATTTTCCAAAAAAACACAAACTGGATGAATGATTAAAAAATGAGAGATAGGCGTGCAGTCATTGCTGTCCCCCTTGCTATCAAATTGGAAACTTGGAAGATAAATACATTGAAGGTCATCAGTTGACACTGCATGTAGTTGGTGAGTTTGGGTTTGGCAAGTCAATTCTAACCCTTGTACGTGTGTCAAAAGTTGGCTACCTGGACTTGTTGTTTTCAAAAAGAAATCACAACAGTTTGTCTTAAATGCTAGCTCAGATTAGGGGCACTTGTTTTTGACAGCTCTCTGCTTCTTCCAGCACTGGAGAAAGGTCAAGTTAATCATCCGAAATAGAGAGTCTGCTGAAGATGGGGAGACGCTTGCTGAGGTCAGGGGTAGGAGACTCTGACCCGCTCACACTCCCAGAGCTGCTCAGGTAGCTGTCGGACATCGAGTCTGGAGGGCTCGGGGGAGGCTCATAGAGATGGGGCGACTCAGCCAAAGACCGGAGCAGGAAGGAAGGCGAATGGGTGCCATTGTTGACGGAGGTCATGGGAACCTGGATGCCAATGCTGGGTGCAAACAGATTGGGTAGTTCCTGGCTCGAGTAGGTGAAAGGGTTGCTGGCGCAGTCTGGCAGTGTGGGGGAGGAGCTGAGGTCCTCAGAGCTGAAAATGGGCGGAGGGGTGATCGAAGTGGGGCTGCCCAGCAACCCACTGGAGGAACTGGAGATGCCAGAGAAGCTGTAGCTGTGTTGCAGGCGAGGCCGGTCGATCTTGTTGGAGGAGGAGAGTGGGAGATGCTGCTGGTCGTGAACGGGGGACAGGCGCCTCTCCTCCGCGTTGTGGATGAAGTGGCAGCGAGGGCCGTACGGGCAAAATCCGATGGTGTGGAAGGTGCGGCAGAGCTCAGTCTTGTACTTGGGGTGCCTGGCCAAGCTCCTCAGCTCATGGATGCCGTGAGCGAACTGGCACTTGTCACCGTACTTGCATGATCCGTTCTCCTCAAAGGGGCGGCACAACTCTGTCTTGTAGCGGCTGGAGTTGACCTGGCTCTGGGCTTTCTGCAGGCCCGTCTCAGAAAAGGAGCGGTCCCGGAATTTGTTCTCCTTGTTGGCCCCGGCGGTGGTACCACTCTGCTCCAGCTTGAAGCTGTTCAGCAGCTGGTTCTGGTTGAACTTGGAGTTAGCGTTGACAAGGGCGACAGAATGTCTCCTCTGATAGTCCATCAGCGTCGGGGTCCCGACTGCCTTCCTGTCCAGCAGGGGCACACTCGAGCTGCCTGCGTTGATGTTGTTGTTGTAGCTAATCATCTTGTTCTGAGTGAGGACAGAAAGCAAACTATCACTTTAGACACAACAGAGCGAAAAAAAAAACCCCAGCTTGCCACACAAGTTGTATATCCAATCCCAACCTCCCCATACCAGCATTGATCTTCCTACCCCCTTCATCCCCTACGTAGCCAGCATCCCCTTAAAGGCACCTACACTCTTCATCCCCTTAAAAGGCTTCACCTTCAACTTAACCAGTCCATGAGGTACTAAGTGTCAACATCTCGGTGCAGAACGTTTTCTCAAATTCTGTAATGGTTTTGTTAGTGACTTTTGTATTTGTGGCCCTAGGTAGTGGATTGTCCTACTAGCCCATTTAAACATCCTCTACCTCCATCCTGTCCAACACCTTCGGATTTTTAAAAGATTTAAATCAGATAGTCATCGGTCTTCCCTCTCCTAAGGAACTGAGCTGAAGTCTATCGTAACTGATAGCTATTATGGGGCAGAGAGAGAGAGTGAAAGAGAGAGACCACTGTAGGGTACAGTAATGAATTTGACGTCATGGTCAGCAACACAACAAAAATCTTGTTTACATTGAACAGGCAAAGAGAATGGTTTGTGGCTCACCAGGCAGCAGTCAGCACCAATGAGACTGTCCCCCCACCCCCCGTGTTCCTTGGGACAACTCAACTGACAAAGGGCAAGTTACTGGTAGGGGTTGTTATACAGCGCTGCACCCTGTAGGTTCTCCCCAGCCCCATTACCCCAACTCCTCCTCACTCCTGGAGTGGAGTCCACTAACAAGCCATCCCCTGACCACTGCAGTCACAATATTGACAGGTACGCACTACAGAACCACCCTCTCCTCCCCGCACCTTACCAAAAACAACAGCCTTCCACTCATAAATATCACATCCAAATAATGCCCCATTTCCAACATGTTCGGAGAAACTTGAAAGGAAGTATCAGAAACAAATAAGAAAGTTGATAAGAGTGCTCCAGCGAGATTTCACTCCCTAACACCCTCTTCCCAATAAGCCTCCCCCCTCTCTCCCACTTTTTGTACACCTCTCAGTGGTATAACTCCTGGTACTAATCGCCTTCTTGGGAGGGGAGGCGAGAGACTTAACCTTTATTTGAGGGGGTGGGGCGGTGAGTAGGTGCACAGAGCAAGGGCGATGGGGGCTCTCTCTGTCCGAGTGGCCAGGATGAACTGATGCCCCTTTTAAGCCAAACTGGGGCAGCAGAAGTAACAAAAAAAAAGTGGGTGGGGACTCCCAAAGTTCCAAATCAGAATCTTGGCGCGTTCCAAATCAGAATACCCCCCGCCCCAAGACAACATTCCTGATCTGGAATCAAGGAATCTCACCCTACTCCTTCTTCTCTTCCATCGCCACCCAAAATGATTTTAAAATACCAATCTACACTTTTTTCTATTTAACAAAAACACCCGGAGGAGCATTACATAATGGGTTAAAATATAGAAACAGATAAACAGGAAAGAAAGTTCCACCAAACCGCCTCAAACAGGACGGAGCAAAATATACAGCCAAATTCAAACAGCCAGAAAAGAAGTCCATTTAAAAAAATAACACGATGGAATCTCTAATGTTGCAGAAGGGGGGAAATCGTGAAGGATATGAAATCCGCAATCGGCCGTCAAGACTTTTTTTGATTTTTTTTTTAAAAAAAAAAGCAGAATTAAAACTCTCTCTCATCCTAAGGCATCGTTCCGGGAGTCTTTGCTCAGAAAGTTGGCTACACCAAAACGTCCACACAAAAGTTTTTTCAGATTAAATGCAGAAGGAGAGAGAGAGAGAAATTAAGAAAGCCATCGATAGATCGAGTGGCTGAGAAAGTTGCAACGTGCTTGCTGGAATAATTAATACCATTTCCCCCTCTCTCTCTCTCTTACTCACTCACACACACACACACACACAGAGCGGCTCAAAACAAAAGTTAGTGTGTGCTTCTCTTTTTACCTTGCATAAAACTTCTCCAATGTCGTAGAAACATGAGGTGAACTTTGTAGACATGTCGAGGTGTCCGGGTTAGCGAAAGCAGGTCGATTCGGCTGTGAAAGCCGGGGGATGGGGCGGGGCGGGGCGAGACGGATCGGATCGGCTCCCCAACTACAGTGAACCTTCGTCTGCTATTATTTTCTTCCTTCTCTCTCTCTCTCTCTCTCTCTCTGTGCTGCGAGCCTCCCACTCGCCCCGCAGACTTTCAACAACTCGCAGTCCGACATCAGCCATAAATAATTTCCCTTCCCCCCGTAGGCGGATCCCTGGTATTTAAATCAGCCTAGCTTGTGAGCTTTTTTTTTGAAAAAATCTCTTTGACTGACAGTAAGTGCACCCAGCAGCAGAGAGAGAAAGGAAAAATTAACGCCTTCCCACCAAATCCAAGTTAAAAGTTTTTACATGGCTCTCTCCCTGACTCTCTATCTATATAATTCCTCTTTACGAGTTTGTCAAGGTGTTTTCCCCCCCCCCCCTCCTGTTTGTTAAATGAACTAAAATTTTACATCATACAACAACATCAATGAAGTTAACTAATTGGTAGCTTTCAGTCTGTTGGGTTTTTTTTTGTTTTGGGCGGGATTTGGAGCGAGTTGCCCAGTTCAGAAAGGGATTTGGATCTGGAAGAAGCCATTGCGAAATGTTTGAGCAAGGGGGAGGAATGCGTTGTTTTAAAAAAACTTTCTGGATCAAACACTGCGGGGGGGGAATGTGGTGCCCCGTATTATGTTGCACAAGGTTCAGCGGGTTTGCTGAAAGGCTGCAACGAATTTGTTTTTAAAAGTGGTCACTGAGATAATGTATGCTTTAATTTTTTTTTTAAAGCGTAGTTTTAATAGTATGTTTTTTTTAAATGTATGTCGACTCGCAGTGTTTTGGCTGTTTCCGAATGATTTGCATTGTGCGCGGCTTATCGTCTGTAACAGATGGTTGCAATTTCATGTCTGTTACAACGGGTTTTGGCGGGAGAGAGCACATGGCGCTAAAGGAGCCTTTTTAGTTGAGTTTTTTTTTGGGGGGGGAAGAAGAAAATAAGAATGAAACGAGAAGAGGGCTTAAAAAAAAACTTAAAAAGCTGGCTCTTCGGTTTGAGAAGGCCAAATAAGCGCCTCCTGACGTCTTCAACTTTCCTTTTTTTTTAAAAAAAAGCATATTTCTCATTCCTTTTTTTAAAAAGTTTGACTTCTCATTTTTAGAAATCATGTTTTTCTTAATCCTCTCTTTTTTTAAAAAGTTTCCCTCATTCCTCCCCCTTTAGAAAACATTTCCTTCTTATTCCATCCGTTAAAAAAATTTTCTTATCTTTTATACAAAAGTTTCTCTCTCATTTTTCCCCTCTCTCCCTTTACGTGACTCCCCACACAGAAAGACATTGTCAGTGGAGGGGCTTGTATTAAACAGTTTTCTCCTCCCCGCCCCCCTTCTTATTTAAAGCAAAGGAGTGTTTTGTTTTTGAAAGCCTCCAGAGAGAGCGCACTCTAATTGGTATCACTTAAGCTATTTTTTTTTCCTTTAAACTTTTCGTTCGAGTGAATCCGCCTGATGTTGATTTTTCAGGATCTATCAGCGAGCCCCCGTCATGCGCTTTTTCTTCAAATTTCCAAAGCTCAACGATTTACAGCGACTCTCGATTATTCCCCCCCTTTTCGTAAAAGAAAAAGTTCGGCAGAATAAAGTAATACTGAAACTGAAATCAGGGGGAAAATAGAGATGTGGTGTGGTTCAGCGCTGTGGCTATTTTAAAACGGAGGGTTCAACATTATAAACAGTGTGACTGTGTCTTGGGGGAGGGGGGCGGTGGCGAAGAGAGAGGAACTGAACCCATTCAGCTCTCAAATCACCAAACCTTCCTCAATCCTATTTACACGTGGTGGCTGAATCAGCAGATAGTTAACACTATCCACCCGCGAAATAACAGCTGGAATACTGTCGCTTTGCTTTCTCTCTCTCTCTTTTAATATTCATTTTCTATTTTTGGAGAAGCAATTCTACAAGTTTCCTTCCCCTCCTGGTTTCTTCTCTTTGTAAAACCTG